CATGGAGCACGTGGCGGGCTATGCCCTGTGCCTGGACATGACCGCCCGCGACACCCAGGAGCAGTGCAAGCAGAAGGGGCTGCCCTGGACCTTGGCCAAAGGCTTCGGCTCCTCCTGCCCCGTCAGTGACTTCGTGCCCAAGGAGAAGATCCCAGACCCGCACAAGCTGCAGATCTGGCTGAAGGTGAACGGGAAGCTGAGGCAGGAGGGGGACACCTCGTCCATGATCTTCTCCATCCCTTACCTGATCAGCTACATCAGCCACATATTCACCTTGGAAGAAGGGGACTTGATTCTCACGGGGTCTCCCAAAGGAGTGGGGGCCGTGGAGGCCAACGATGAGATCGAGGCGGGGATCAGGGACGTGCTGTCCATGAGGTTCAAGGTGGTGCAGGGCACGGAACCCCGGGGCCCAAAAGGTGTTTGAGTGCCCCTGCCCCACCTCCATGGAGGCTTCAGCACACCTGGAGTGCGGCCCAGCCTGGAGCAGGTGGAGCCCAGAAGCTCCAGATTCCAACATTTGATTCCAAAACCGTACCTGGGAACTGGAGGCTGAGACATTGGAGAGGGCAATGGGCCTGGCTGTCCTTCTGCATGTGCTTCTGCTGATGCTTTGAGTATTGCCTTAAAATAAAAATTACTGATCCAAACAATCCAAATGATGATGTAGGAGCTAAGGCTCAGCCATGCTGTGGAAAATCAAAGGTTTATGTGAAGATGTTCAGCCCTAAATCAAGAGTTGCAGCTTTGCAAAGAGTTTCCTCTACAAGAGAAAGATGTTTGATTTTTTTGGGTTAGTTTTGATCCTCCCTGCTTTTTTCAAACATACAAATTAAAGAAGGATGGCTTTTCCTCCCACTCCAGGGGGCGAAGGCAACAGGAAGTGTGCCAGATGTTTGGCAGATTGGTTTTTTCCTAAACTGAGATTTAAAAATGTTCTAAAAGTGAAATAATGTAAAAAGATCAAGAATAAAGAAGCATATGGATAAAGATCACCACGAAACTTTTCTTTTGAGTGATTTCAATGTATTTTTAGTGAAACAGTAACTGCAGCCGTTGCTGTTACCCAGTGCATGCAGCAGTTGGAGGTTTAAGTGTTTCCAGCTGCTGAAGCCACTCTGGGTAACTTTCCCCAGTTCCCAACTCCAGCTGTTCCAGCATCCCCACCGGTTTGCATGACAGCGAGTTCTCTTTCAATTCAACAGCAAGTTGTAAAATATAATTTAAAAAATCCTCCCCATGCAAACATCAAAACCTAGATTTTCAAAGGTTGCACAGAACTGGCTCATTTCTAACAAAAACAGATGGATGTTTTTGTTTTTACATAAATGCAAATCAGCAAAGTTAAACACTTCCATTTATCAGAGCCAGATCTTAATAACTGCTAGGAAAAGCTTTGGTTTTAAAAATGGGGAGTTTTACAGAGAAAAATCCTGTCTCCCAAAGAGAAGCAGCTCTGTGAGAGCAGCACAGTCCAGGGTGCTGCACACCACACTGGCAGAAGAAATGGAAGAATTCCTTTAGAATTTTTTCAGAATTAAAAGAGCCATTAGGGTGAACAGTTCTGGAAGAGGAAGGATGGAATTAAAGTGTCTGTACTGTTTGCATTTCCCATCTCTGGCAACAGCAGCAGGGCATTGTTTGCAGTTTGGTCTCCAGCCCTGGGTATTGACAGAGTTGGGATTAAGTTATTGGAAACATTCCCTTCAGAATGGGAATTGTTACGGCTGGGAAATGTTGAATCCTTTATTGCTACAAGAGGGATGCTGTGACCCAGCACTGGCAGCATTTTTGGGGTCTTTATTGCCACCCACGAGTCAGGGGTGCAGTCTGGGATAATTTGTCAGGATTTCCTGTTTCTGGGGGGTTTTCTCTGTTGCTTTAAGGGTAGGGAGGGCACCAGGGGGATCAGAGTTCCCTGGGATGTCCTGGCCTGAAACCCTTTGGCAGAGCAGGGCTGGGGGATCTCCCTCTGCTGGACACAGGCTGAGTCCCAGCGTGCTCAGGAGTGAAGCTATGGACAGGAATATATTAAAAACAGGGAAAAAATACATGGAACAAGGCACAATATACATACCTGGGTTCTTTAAATCCAGCTTTGGAGAGCAGAGTCCTGCTTACAGCCTCAGCTTGATTTTTGCTTGTCAGAGGTCACTGCTAATTGATTACTCTGCTCTAATTAGACCTAGTCTGCCCAAAGGGACTCAGCCCTGCTCTGCCCACAGCTCCATGTTTGGCCTCAGCAAGGTGCAGCACAAACCCAGGCAGTGTTTCAAGGGGGGTCTTTATTTCTTTAACACAAAAGCAGCAAACCAGTTAAAACCACAGTTCAACAGATCTATTTTAACCTATTTGTTATTTCTGATTTTTTCAAAGATCTCAGCTGAGTGAGGAAATTTCCAGCCCCCTTGAAAGGGGTTGAATTTGGTAAAGTAACATTTAAGCTGAGGCCCAAGTACACTTTTTAATCACCCAAAAACATGAACTCAGAAGCCCACATAGAGGTATTGTAACGTGCACTTCTCCTTTACCATCAGAACAGACTTGGCAAAACCCAGCAACAGCAGAATTCCATCTCTAACAACAGAGTGAAGGAAGCCTTTCCTAGCATTTATAAATAATTCCAGTCTCTTGCCAAAAAGCTCTGACTGGCCTCTATGGGATCTGCCAGTTTGCAGGAAAGAAGATTCACTTTTAATCCAGTTCTCCAATTGGGTGATGAAGTAACCTGGAAAAATAATTAAGGATCTTTGTTATCACAGCACCTTGACAGAGATTATTTTCAGATGTTTGGCAGATTTATTTACGTTATTTCCTGTGTGAGTACACAGTTATGCCATCTGCCTGTCACTGCTGAAGTCAAACACTTATTTTGTCCTGGAAATAGGGACAGAGAAAGGGGAGATGGGAGAGTAAAAAGAGTTCTGCCCAAAAGGACAAGTATAAAAGTGAAAACCAGCTACTGTTTTGAATTAAGCATTAAATACTAACTTTGAAGTAAATCTTGCTTCGTTCCAAGAGGAGTTGCCATTTCAGTGCAGTCCTCTGGTCATCTTCCAGCATGAGGAATTCAGTGACCTGTTAACAGGACACCACAGAGCACTTCAGCAGGTGGTTAAATCATCTCCACAACAGGATGATGATGAAAAGAACATCTCACATATTTTTATACATTTCTAAGCTGTATTTTTCTATTTTAACCTAGTGCTTGGTATGAGATGTGTACCAAGACAGTCACATTAATCAGATAAACTGCAGGGTGTTTGAAAATCAGAGTTAGGTATTTCCAGCCACGTTCTCAGAAAAACAGTGTTCTGAACTGGGTTCAGTCTTACACTGAACACAATTCCTGTTGGCATCTGCTGACTTCCAAGCTCTGTGTGTCCGTCTGTCCATCCATGCCATTTTTGTCACTCTTGCACACACCCACACACAGAGAGAACATTTTCAGATATCTGTAATTCCCCTCACGCTCCCCAGCTGGGCAGGAGCAGCCCAATCCCCCTTACTGTGCAGCCCAGGGTGTCCTCAGCCACAGTGTCAGCCAGGCAGCAGGAGCGCAGGGTGCCGGTGTGGTCTGACACATCCACCAGGATGTCAAAGCTGGCAAAGGTGGACTTGGCCTCTGCAGAGACGTCGGTGCAGAAGGTGCAGGAGTTTGAGCCCTCATTGACAATGAACCGGCACACTGAGCTGGGACACAAGGACAGAGTTCGTGCAGATGTGCAATTTGTTCTTGACTGAGATTTCCCAAGAGACTTTGTCTTTAAAAAATGATTCCTCTCCTAAACTCTTGAGTCTGTCTGAGACAAAGTGACCTCTTTCTTTTTCACTCTGGGACCACAAAGCACCCTCAACAAAACTTCACAACAAAACTTCCCACCAGAAACCCACATGGCATCCCCCAGAGCAGTTTTATTTCTTCTCTGGGATGGGACTAAAACATTGCTCCGTGTCATTTGACTCTGGGGAGGAGGACAAGCAGTTTCAGCACACACTCCAGCAGGCAGTCACTCACCATCTGTTGCGCAGCACTCTGGACACGCTCTCGTCGATGTCCAGGGTGGAAATGTAGCCATAAATAATTCCATGGACAGGCTCCAGCTTCCCATCACTCTGCAGAGCTTTTTCTTTCAGCTGTTCCACTGTGTAGACATCCACTACAGTCTCCACTACAAGTTTAAGACACAAGTGTGTCTGAGCCAGAAATTATGCAAAGAGCAATGGCAAAAGTGGATCTTAAGGCAATAAAAAAGAGGTTTAAGCAGCAGTAAAGCCCCCCTCAAAAAAAAAAAAAAGTAAAACAAAAGGGATTCAGATCAGGAATATATCTATGATTTAATCTTTGTATCTTCCAAAAGGAGTTTTTGACAAAAGCTTTCCCCCTCACTTCTCCAAACTGGCTGCAGACAGAAAGAACACAGCAGTCAGGCTGCAGCTGGCACAGGCAGCTGAGATACGTAAAGGTAAAATAAGGGACAGCCCCAAGAAACCATCCAGACTTTACCTACTGAGCCAGGCTGGACCTGAGCTTTGTTTCTGTGAACACACAGAGCAGGAACTCTTTCAGCTGCACTATGGAATGACACTGTGCAGGTAAATAAAATCAAATACTTACAGTTAATGGTTTCATTTGGCAGCTCCTTCATGGGGCTGGGCAGAGCTCCTGCCTGGGCACTCTCTTTGATGAAGCTGAAGAGAACATTTGCTTCTGCTGTTTCTGCAAATACATTTTTAAAAGTTACCAGTATATGTTGCATGGAAAAGTCACAGCATTTTTGTATTTTACAAGTTTTTATTCTGGTAGCACAAACACGTTGGAATTGGCCAAAAATTGCTTTTCTCTTTTTTATTTTAACTGTTAATCCTGCATGGAATAAACATATGAAGGTTGCTAACAATAAAATAAAATAAAATAAAATAAAATAAAATAAAATAAAATAAAATAAAATAAAATAAAATAAAATAAAAGTAGAAGCCAAAGGAACTGGTCATCACATGGCAGACAAAAAGCAGGGAGCTTTGTGAAGAGCAGGCAGAAGAAATCACAGTTCCAATACATTAATTAATGCATTCCTGCCTAGAATAATTGCTAAAAGCAAAGAAATACTTGAGCAGCTCTTACCTGGGTTAGTTGTAATGATGGTTTTGGATATCACAGTTGCAGTCATGCAGTTCCTAAATTTGTCAAAATTGATTCTCACATCTGATGCAAATATAACTGTGCAGAAAAACACCCCCATGTTACTGGAGAGTAAATGTCACATGAAGAACTTCAATAAAAGCATAAACCAGACTGCTTTACCTGTTTCTTGGGGGATCCAACTCTGTGCCAGCTGGATGGATTCGTTATCCCAGCTAAATTAAACAAAAGTGGATGTATCAAAACATTTTTGAAACAGCACTCAAAGTGTTTAGTACTAAATTAGTAAATAATGTAGTTGTAATAAAATTGGCCAAAGGGGACACAACTCCTTTGTGACACACATGGCACTGAAATTCCATGTGCCATGAAATTCCTGCTTTGTCTCAAACAGGATAAAATAAAGATGGTCTAAATGCAGAATATACCAGGGAAAATGCTGTGTTTCAGCTTTTATCCAAGTCATTTCTAGCTAAAGCAAATCCCAGTCAAAGGAGCTGCGTGTGCTGGGCCAGGCTGATTGCTCAGATCCCCAGGCCAGATGTTCAGCACTTCCAACACTGGGATCTTTGTGGCTGGGGATGATGAGACTGGAGTGAGGTCAGAAACATCCCTCAAAAATGGTAATTTCATGGTCTCTTGATAAAATCTCATTCAGCTCCTCCTAAATTCGACTGGCAAGAGCACAGCCAAAGCACAGATTTGTTCTGGTGGGTTTTCTCCTTAATCCTTGGGAAAAGATTTAAGATATTTCCTTTTCATCTGATATTGCCCAGGCAGCTCTTGACTGCTGGGCTCTGGAATCCCCTGACAGTGCCCAAGTGCCAGCACTGAGAGGGCTGATGGAGGAGTTAATTTCAAATTAACCTGGGCTGGAAGGGCTCACCCCAGAGCTGCTTCTCTTGGTTTGTGGCCATGAATTGTGTTAAACATCCCTGGTGGCAGCACAGCTCCCAGCCCACAGTGCAGGGCTGGCTGCCTGCTCCCCCGAGGGAACAAAGGGCCCTGAAGTCACTTTTTAACCACCAAAGAGCAATCCCAGGGCAAGGGGACACCACAGCCCCACATGCCCCTGCACTTGGAAAAGCCACGAGTTTATTGAACAAACTCTGGGCAAAATGCAAAGGTTCCTCTGTGAACAAGGGCCTGTTCAGGGATGGGCTGGGTAGAGCTGTGTTAGTAAACAGGACAAAGTTTGAAAATACAACCAAAGTCACATCAAAATGTTCCTGCATTTTAAATATTTAAAAACTATTTCAACCTATTTCTGCTCCACTTGCAATTCTGCTTGGCTTTAAAAATGGATCATGCTCTTCATTTTCCTGCCCTCGTGCTTGTGGAAGAGACACAACAGCCTTTGCAGCTGGTTGTAAAAGTCATTTCCTGAATTAGCTCAAATGTCCACATTAAAAAAAAAGGAATTATTTGGAACTGAGCTTCATTTTGCCATTCATGAGCCAGCAGGCTGTCAGCAAGCCATAAAACTCCACAAGATATATAAGGCCATTCTAATGAATCTCTTCTTTAAGTCTCTTTTCAGCGTACATTGTTGCCTCATCTCAGTTGCCTCCTCAATAACAATATATTTAAATTAAAAGATGGGTTTATAGTTAATTAGTGTGTGTTAAAGCTAATTTCTTGATCCATGTTTGCATTATATTTTTAGTGAATTAAAGAACATTTAGTGAATTAAAGAACATTTAATGAATTAAAGAACATCTTACCATACTATTGGGAAAGACCTCTCTGTTTCATCATACAGCTTTACTTCACACCTCTGGCCTTTCCTTTTGTCTGAAGTCATGAAATACTTTGGCTCCCCAACCTTGAGGAAGAAAGAGAAGAAGTCACTTGTCCTCTATTCAGTGTTTGGAAGAATAAAACATAACCTAGAGAAGGGTTAGAAAAGGGAAGAAAGACTCTAGACTACTAAAAATGGGATCACTTCATTTTCCCTTCATTTTGTTGATAAAAATCTCATCAAAAGGTGTGGGTGGTTATTGTCACTCAGCTGCCAAGCTGAACAAATGGAGTCCTGGCCACTGTGAGGCCCAAAATCCACATTTACACAGATTTACAATGAAGTTACTGATGG